TACAAACCGAAGCATATACCAATCAAATAGGAGAGGTAAAAATATACTTTTCGAAGTATTTTCCAGTATGAAAACAGGTATAGGAACCTGCAAAGGGCCAACATCTAGGAAGCTGTATCAGAAGAAACTGAAGACTTCTACTTTTGGGGTGCACTAAATAGGCCAAGAGGACCCGAATCCGAACACAACCTCCTCTTCAAAGCTTCACCAACAACAACAACTATTGTACTCTTATGCAGTCGCAGAGTAATGAGCTTCAACATATTTGGCAACCCCTGAAATGTTACTAGAAATCCACAACAGAGAGCCAACATTGATCTCTTAGACTATTGGAGAGCCAAAAATGTATTTTTCTAGTATTATCAAGACTTGGATGTTTTCGCTGTTCTTGTCTCAACCTTCTCATCCGAACAAACATTTAGTGCAAGTGGAAGAATTTAAATGAAAGGAGGCCTAAACTTTCACCACAATGATTGTGAAGTCCTCACATGTCTTCGAGATTGGGAACAGTTGCGCCATCAATGTCAATACGAGGTTGTCGACGATACTTTAATAGAATCATTTCAATTTGTAATATATGATAGAATAGGGGAGGTCCTAGTGAACCCAAAATTAGTTGTTTTGTAAATGTAACTGACAAATTAATTGTCAATTATCACTCTTTTTTCCTTACCAAGTTTTGTCCTATTGATTTTTTCTTGGTGAGGTTTTTAACGGGCAATACTTTATTGTAATTTCTTATTTTATTTTTTAATAAATGAATAAATTTAATTATTCTTACATTACAATTTTAATGTATTAAAATTGAATTAATATTTGGAATGTTAACAAAAAAAAAAAAAATTAATTTAATTTAATTATTGATATTTGAAAAGAAATTAATAATTAACTAAAAACAATTACATTTATAAATTTTTAATTATTCATTTGAAAAGTTAATTAAACATTTAAACTTAAACAAAATAAAACAAAACAAAATTCAAAAAAAACAAAATTCAAAAAGCGGGTTAACCCGGCCCAACCCGCGCCTAACCCGGCGGGTTAGGGTTGGCAGTCCGGGTTGGGCTAGCCAATGCCACCGGGCGGGTCAGAACCGACCAGCCATTAATAGCAATCCGCCGTGGGCCGGGTCGGGTCGGGCCAAGTGGGTTGCTTTTCCACCTCTAGTCTTCTCAACATTTATAATTTTTTTTTAATTCCTAAAATAATAATTCATTTTCTCTTCTCAACAATCAAAATCAGTTTTTTCCTTTAGCTCTGCAAGTCTTTTGCTTAAAAATTCACATTTTTCAATAATGTTTCTCTCCCTCTGATTGATTTATAGACTTATCAATAATACCTAGTGGGTTATTCTACAATTTTTTTTTTTTTTTGTTTTTCTTGACAAAGTTGTAAACTTTGGTTGCGGATTTCAAATGGCGATATATTTGAGAAGAACCATGATGATATAAACTTTGAGTTCAATTTGTGGATATTTTATTTATTGATTTTTTAATTATCAATTTAATATAAATTGAACTTCAATATAGAAAATATATATTTAAAACACAAAAAAACCAATAATAATGTAAAAAAATATATAATAAACATACCCACGCAACGCAACTTAAAAATGAATATAAGTTACAGAAATTGTGGAAGATCGGTATAAATTTTTAAGTTTAAATAGTTGATCTTGATAATATTCAAGTGATCTTAAATATCATACACAATTCACTACAAAATATTGACATCGAACGTCAAAGACATGTCTGCAAAAATAATATCAATTGTATAAGGTGATGATCCTAAAAATACAATTAGACCATATAATATTCAAGTGATCTTCTCAAGTTGGATGAATGATTTAATGATATCTACCTATAATTGATATTAATAATTATACAGGTATAATTATTAATTTTATCTTAACACAACTTTGTATATATATAAAATTTATATTTACTTTAAAATTGGTATAATTTAACAATTATTATGTCTTAATCTAATTAGTTTATTTTGTTAGAATAAATTTGTTTACAATTTATTTCAAAAACATTGAATAAACATACCCGCGTAACGTACGGACCTCATGTCTAATATTTTAATAAATTGAATGAAATATATGGAATGAAAGTGGTGGTGTAAGTTGAAAATTTGAAAGATGAAAGGTCAGTGGATTAATGGAGGAGGTTTTAAAAATTGGAAAGTGAAAAGGTGGAAAATAATGATAGAATTCAATGTTTTGTCCCACCTTGAGTAGTATAAAAGGTGTTCTTCCTCTCATTTCAAACACACCAAAAATTTCAATCTCTCATTTTCTCTCTAGGTTTTAAGATTTTATTTTGTTGGAGTTAAGACTTAATTTAGTTCGTTAGAATAAAAGAGTGATGCTTCTCTTGCTATTCATATGTCGTTGTATCCTGAGAAATAGACGCTGCTTAAATCTTTATGCACCCGAGTGAAGGAGGTGAATCTGTTTTAAGGAAACTGTGTGTTACACAAGGCTTCGACATTCATCCTAAGGTTGTATTCTCCGGATCTCTTCTTGTCATTTTGAAGGATTTCCTATACATGATCACGTTGTTGGTATTGTTAATTTTATTGTATTGTCATTTTATTTTATTGACATTTAATTTTATTGTTTTTATATTCAATAGATTTATTATTTGCGGTTACTAATATAATAATTGATTATTTTATAACAAAGATAGCACGGACTACCCGTAACCCAAAGTGGGAAACAATAGCAACCAGTCTAGCGCAAGTCATGTACCAACCAACTAGTCTAACTTGATTACAGTATATACGAGATGGTGGACCAGAAGATAGCAATCTGTAGAAAAGGTGAGTAAGGTTTTTGAGTGATTTGGTGGGTTTTGACTTTTGAGAAGCATTTGGAAGAGGGTTTTGATGAATGACTTGAATGGAGGCCGCTTGTCTGGGTTTATCATCGCCAATGGTTGGTTCTAGGGCTGGCTACTATGATATGACATTTTTTTTACAATTATAAAATCATCATCAAATTGAGATAATATAAGAGAAGGTTATTATTACAACCAATAATGCTACGGACATCGATTGCTAACACCAAATTTTTGTACCGACGTATGTGACATCCGAGTTAAAGGCAGCCGCGGTGGACACTAACATGTTTTTCGTGAATGAACAGCCGTCCAACAATCATGGACACTCATCCATATTTGCTGGACGACCATTCATTACAAATGGACTCTCGTTCATCAATCTGGTATGAAAATAACAATGGACTCTTGTCCATATAATATGGACGTGAGTCCATTTTCTATGGACGAGCATCTACCTAGAATGGACACCCATCCATAAATTACTAAAAGACCAAGCATGGACGCCCGTCTATAGGTCTCACTTTCTAATTGATCCAATTAACCTCCTCTCTTTTGAAAATAAAAAGGTAAAGTTAGAGAACTGTTGGCTCCATGGTCAAAAGTTCCACGCAAACATCTAGTAGGAAGAAGGTCTTGTGAAACTCACAGGGACCCCAATGCCCATTACCAAACAATAGAAAAGACTTAGCATAATCTTCTGTTAAACATGTGGAATGGAGGGAAATATTTTATCTTCTCAATAACATAATCAATCCTAGCACTACAGCTTATACCATCTTTAAATTGTTCGGATCCTCTTCAGGATCATTCATTATTAGTTCATGTGTAATTGCAATTACCTGCAACAATGGATTTGAGTACAAACGAAGAAGTAGCGCATGAGTATCTTCCACATTTTCGTGCCTACAAAGATGGACACGTGGAGAGATTCTTTGGCTCTGATAGAGTTCTTTGATTGATTGATGGTTCTCAGAATGGTGTCTACTCCAAAGATGTTGTTATTGTTTCAGAAACTAGGCTCTCCGCACGTATTTTTATCCCAGCAGACGCAACTAAACCAGGCCAAAAGCTTCCTCTCGTGGTTTACTATCACGACAGAGGTTTCTTCATGGGCACACCCTTTTGCTCCGTTTATAGCAACTATGCATCGTCTCTAGCTGCCAAGGCTAATGCCATCGCCGTCTCCGTAGATTATAGATTAGCCTCAAAACACTTTCTCCCCGTAGCTTACGAAGATTCATGGGCTGCACTTAAGTTGGGGTCCTCTCATTGCAATGGTAAAGGCCCTGAAGCTTGGTTGAACAACTACGCTAATTTTCACCGAGTTTTTCTAGTTGGGGGATAGCAATGAAAGCAACATGGTGCACGACATGGCCATCCAAGCAAGCGTTGAAGACTTGAATGGAGTGAAGTTGTTAGGAATTTGCTTGGTCTTTTAAAAATTTATGGATGAGCATCCATTCTAGGTGGACGCCCGTCCATAGAAAATGAACTCCCGTCCATATTATATGGTCCATAGAAAATGAACTCCCGTCCATATTATATGGACGGGAGTCAATTGTTATTTTCGTACCAGATTGATGGATGAGAGTCCATTTGTAATGAATAACTATCCATCAAATATGGATGAGCGTCCATGATTGTTGGACGGTTGTTCATTCACAGAAGACGTGTTAGTGTCCAACGTGATCGCGTCTAACTCGAATGCCACTTACGTCAATACAAAAATTCAGTGTCAGTAATCGATGTCCGTAACATTATTGTTTTTATAATTAGCAATTGAAATTTAGACATGATTTCTTTTTATCAATTTTCAACATTTTTGTTTTTTGTTTTTATTGTGCGTAATATTCAATCAAGCATTGATCTATTAATTTTTTACTAGAATTGCAACCCATTTGACTTTATTGTTATCCAAAATCTAAACTCTCCACCCCGCAGGTTAACTTGATTCAAATTTTATGCTAACAAAATAAAGCATTTTGAACTAAACCCAGTTAACTTAATTCATAGTCATAGATAACACAGTTTCGTCCGAGGTTTTGAAATTGAATCAAACCCTAGTTACAGTGATGGAGAGTACAGACATCTTTTGATTTGTGCAAATTACACCACCAGTCATTAGAGAAATTAAACATGGCAAAATACCAAAAAAAAAAAAAAGTTATTCCATAGATAAGCATATTTTAATACATAGACAATTGACGTACAAACCTATAAAAAGTTAATAAGGACTTGAAACTGAAAATAGTGTAACAGCTACAAGCTCAAAACCCTTTTTATTAAAATGTTGACGCCATCAAATCCGGCAACAAACACCACCACAAGATACTGTAAAGCAAAACAACATTTCAAAGTTTTCTGCCTAATTCTTACCAAGAACACCAAATAAACTATTGAATAATGATATAAGGAGGAGTGGCCTGTACATGAATTATTTAATCAAAGAGACTAAGCGCTTGATTGAGAGGAAGTAACCTAATCTACCCTTCCTTTCAACAATTTATCAGCTGGGGTTTCCACTTTCATTTTCTGCCCGGAGTTGTTACAAATCTGCACATGTTATATACCCAAACTTCAGACTTTCATTCATAAATTACGCAGTTACATAAAAGATAATATGAAGAAAGTAATAACTTTACCAATATTGTGGATCTCTAATCACCCACAGCTTCGGCTTCTTCCTGCAGCTTTTACTGTGCAAATCAGCAGCAAGTTACTCCAAAGGAATCGAACCCTTTTTGGGGCTTCTTTTGGTTGCCAAAAATAGGTAAAATTCTAATATTTTGATCACTCAGTCAAAAGATCCCTCAACTTCGATCCCAAAACAAAACTCCTATGTTAATTCACAATCCAAGAGCCCCCACCTGATAAATCCCTGAAAGAAATCAGTAGATCAGGTAACTTCACTCTCAACCAAGCACTTGACTTCTTTGATTAAATGATGCATATCCAACCCACTCCTCCAATATCATCATTCAATATTTTTTCGGAGCACTTGCTAAGAAATATGCTCTTTTGCTCTACAATTATATGGGATTTTAACCCATTAGAATGAGGTTTTTGAATGATTTTTGTGAGTTTGGACTTAGAGAAGCATTTTGAGGATGAATGGTTTTATACAGGACGCCCGAGTGGCTCTAGCCTTCTAGGGCCGGCTACTGTGATATCATACGATATATTTATATCATTAATTCAGGGTTTCATATTTATCATAAAATCCACGTATTTTTTTGTGTTTATTTATCCTATATTATGTCTTATTATAAAGAGTGATTAAAAGATATCATATGGAATGGACTGGACAGATTTTAACCTGTTATTTTTTCAGGCCAGCTCTACCACGATTTTGGCCCAATCCAAGTTGAGCCCATTTAGTTTTTTTTGTTCTTCTATAGATTGATTACAAGACGTTTACATATATTGCTCACAAAGTAATATTGATAGATTGCTTCGTTTTTTCATGATACAGCTCTACTATCATAGGAATTCACTAATCCATTTTATCAATTGTGAATTAGTCATAAAATTTTGCAATTATAAAACTTAATATGGTAAAAATTATGTATAGAAATTCATTATCAACTTAAGGATAAATAAATACAGGGTATTGTCATAATTATCAATTGAAATTTTAGATTGATTTTTTTTTTTTTTTTTTTATCAACTTTCAACATTTTCTTTTTGTTTTTATTGGTTACAGCATCTCCAAATGACTTTTATATGAATCCAACAGATCTTTATCTTTTAAAATATAAATTAGAGAGAGGGTTGACTCTCCAAATTTAGAGAGTCAAATTTCACTCTCTATCCTAATTTTAATAATAAACTACAAGTTTCTATGTATTTTGTTTATTAATTATCTCTTCATTAAGTTCTTTCTCTAAAAAAAAAAAAAAACATCTTCATTAAATTTAAATAGTCTATTGGATTTGAATAAAAATTGTGTTCTTTATATTTAAAAATTAATGAAGATGTTTTTTATTTATATAAAATATGTTCTTCATAATAAAGAGTATCATTGAAAATGCTCTTATATAGTAGTTATTTGAGAGTTATGGTTCAATGTAATCTGTAAGTAGAATCCATCATAATGTGCAGATTAGGTTGTAAATGTGATATTACTCATTTTCTATATATATAATTTTTAATGTTTGGTTGATGAGATTTCATGCTTATTGTTAACCCCACATCACATGCACGACTTACAAAGAATTCGGTGATCTTCCAAACTCTCAAATTTCATTAATAAAAAAATAAAATCCAGAAACAGCTAATGTGAATACAAGAAAGCAAAATAGGGACCGAATTCAATGATTCACATGGCCACAATTTGACTACTATAATCCCCATACAAAACAGGAGAAATCTAAACCCAAAGGCTAATTTTTACAATAAAAAACAAGGGCCACCCCACCCATCACCCAGTAAGGAAGCATTTCCCCTGATTGGGATTTGTGATTGAGTGACAATGATTATGTTCTTTAATTAACAGGATTAACAAAGTTTAAAGATATATGTATATGTTCTTTGGACTATCTTTATTTGCCAGCTTAGCTGCTTTTGTCCTTATATTTTGGGACTTCTTTAATTTTTACTGAATTTTGTTAATAAAATGTCCATTATCTTATCACCTAAAGATCCAGACACAAAAAAAGAGGAATAATTATCAATAATTTAATATACCACAAAATGTGCGTGTAAAGCTGAGCTTTTGACTCCTAGATACTTTTTCACCGATTTGGTGCCAATTAGCCCAGTCCAGTGCCAACCAGCTAAGTTACTACTTTGGTGAGAAAGGAGTTCTTCTGCTCAAGTCATGGAATTGTATCCTACCCCACCCCTACCCTAGCCCCCACTCTCCCATCCAAGTCCATAAAAATACATTGCACGCGTAAAATCTCAAATATCACTCCCTAATATATATGTTGGCAAAACTCATGGTAAAATATTTCACAAAAGCAGTTTCTTAAACTTGAGTAATTAGTGCTGATAACCTCAAACAGTAAAGCGTTATTTACAATAAATTTTAATTAAAACTCCTCTAAAGTGATTATTTTTACCAAAGCCCTTTAAACTAAACATTACCCACACTTTTTGCTTTCTTAATCACCAAGGATCCAACTTGGTCTTCTTTTTTTTTTTTTTATAAATTCTATTAAAGTTTACGCCGGATACAGCACACACTCAGAGAACAAAAATTATTTTATTCTCACTCTCAAGGCACCACCAATCCTGTGTGCACTCAGGAGCAGCGGAACCCCCTACGGCCCTGGATGGTATGTGTAAGTGTAACCAATCATTAACAAAGAACTCGTTCGACCGTTACAAAAGGGCGCGTCTTCACTTGCCACGTCACTTTTTCGTTAATCACACGTCTCCGTTAGTTCCCTAAATCCTCTGTGATCCTCCATTTAAAATTCGGAAAATACATTCTATTTTAACGGAGAAAATCTCGACAGATATCTCAATACACTTTGTACTCGTTTTATATATTTTTTAATTAAAATTTGAAAAAAAGTAAATAGTGTTACACAAAAAAGCATGAATATTACACTATGTCATCAATAATATAAATTTTGTGTTTTTAAATAAATATTTTTTTTATAAAAAAGGTGACGTGGCATGCCCATGGCAAACCTCTTTCATTTGCTAAATATTTAAAAAATAAAAAACATAATTTTGAAATAATATAAAGCAGAGGGAATGCTAAACAGTAGAAAGGGCAAAACAAAATAAACAAGAAAAAAATCTTCTTTTAACTTACAGTTCCAGTTTCTCTCTTTCTGTTACTTTGATTTCTCATTGCCATTCTCACTTCTCAGTGAAGCAGTTCAAGTTCATCTTTTCCTCTCTAAATTAATAATCTTTTTCAGAATTGATGTTGAGTTGATGTGTGTTTTATTATAGGCAAGTGAACTTTCTGATACATTCGGTGATTCTTTTTTTTTCTCTTCTTCTTCTTCTTCTTTTTTTGAGTCGCTGTAATTCTGTTTAACAACTCACATTTTCTTGGTTTGTATTGATTTTAGCCAAGTGAATTTTGTGTTGTATCAAGAGATTTTACTTTTTTTTAATTGTTTTCTCTCTACTTTCTTCTTGTTTCTCTCTTTTCAATGCAAGATTTGCGTTTTTTTTTTTGCCAATGCACTTCAGTTGTTCATCACTGATTTTTAACTGAGTTAAAATCTTAGATGTTTTATTTTCTGTTTGGTTCCTGAGAAAACTGGAAAAGAAAAAAAAAAGTGAAGTTTAGATTTTTAGCCACTTTTAACACAACATATATTACCATACTAAGATGACTCAATACCAAAATACACAGATTTTTAGTTATTGCTTTTAACTTGAGAAGTACTTTTCGTGATACTAATTTTCACTCTGAACATTGTTGGAATGGGTAAAGCTTTCGATTTTAATGGTGTTAATGTTTAAATTGCGTAATGTGAGATTCAAGGTTTTAGTTTTCTTCGTTCAGTATCTAGTCTCAGTAATCAATTAAACAAAGTGTAGTGTTTGGTTTTGATCAGTTTCGATTTGGGTATTGAAACTCTTAATTGTTGATTTAGGTGAAGAAGAAACTTTGGGATCATGTTTGCTGAAGGGCTTGATGGTAATGCCCTTAAATGGGTTCGACAGGTCAGTCGTTATTGATTTTTTTTTTTTTTTTTTTTTTCAAGTCTTTGGATTTTCAAAAGTAGTTTTAGTTTCCGGGTGAATTTGATATAATTTTTGTAATACTTTGTACTAGAAGGGTGGTGCCAAGAAAGATATATTCAGTTCTATTCCGATTCAGAGGCCAAAACCTGATGGAATAACTAATCTAAGTAATGGTAGACAAGACACTGGGATGTCTTTTTCATCGGGTGTGGTTCCTGTACATACAATACATTTGAGTGGCAATGATAGTGGCTCAGGGTCCGATATGGACATATCGCCTGATTCTGATGATGAGGTCTTTGGCGGGCAAAACTCAGTCAAGTGTTCTCCACAAGATGACAAGATTAGCAATGGTGTAGCTCCTAAATATGCGAAGCCACTTCACAAACAAGTGAATCATGGCAATGATAGAAATCAACAGAAACAAGGAAATGGTGGTGGGAGGCATGGGACTGCAGAAGTTGGATTTTCAGATTCGGCTTCTAGTACTGAAGTCTCTTTTACACAGTTCCGCAATGAATGTGATGCTTCACTGAGAGGAACATACACAGATGGTTATTCTTCCAGTGTTACTTCATTGTCGAAACCTGAAAGAACAATTAAACAGGTATTATGTTCTTAAATATGATACAAATTGTACTTGTGTTTCTGTTCATGCGTGAGTGGTAACAGTGTCAAGCTTCCTGGTGAAAATTTCTTCTTAGTTGAGTTTGAACCTAATTTAGCGCTACAGCACATTTTCATTTTATCTTTCTCTTTGCTATTTTTCTTTTGTTGTTAGTCACTATTCATATGTTTATGCCACTCAGAGTGTCCCATGTGAACTACATTTAGTTTTTGTTGTTACAGATGTGGGTAAAATGGTAAGCATGTATATGAAAGTGTGGACTGGCAGTTATATATAAATTGTTGGACATTACCTTGACAGTTCATGTTGAAAAAATGAATTTACTTATTTGTAAATGAATATAGAAACTAGGCATGATTGAGCTGAATTGAAGTTATTTCCATTGATATAAATATTAAATTGCCCTGCCATATTAATAAGCCAGCTACATGTTGGGTAGTTGTTTGAAGTGCTCTACATGCTTATAGCAAAAATCTTATTAATTTGTTTTAAATAATTTTCTTGTCACCATATGTAGCACATGCTTTGGGGACGCTGAGCATTCTTATCAGTGCATTTTTTACTCTTCCAACGGTGATATAAAGATAAGAATTTTCAGGAGATGTGTTTTTGTTTTAGGACCATTGGAACTTCTTGTACACGTAAAATACACTGTGGGGTAAATCAGGGGGTACATTGATGGTAGGCTCACAAGCAAAACATTATCATACTGAACCTTTTTTAACCCCAGAACTGGTGAAAATGCTTTCTGATAATTATGTTAACTATTAAATTGTTGATAGATTAACCTGTTTTTAGTCTCAATTTGTGATCAGAAAAGGAAATTAATTTCTACATTTAGTAAATAACCTGAATAGTGAACACTACATAAATAGAAAAAGAAATCAAATTTAAGAGAAGCAAATTTTGGCCAAATAAGTAATAATGTGAGTTAATTAAGAAATATGGCCAAATAAAATATTTTTGGCATATATAATAAGTTTTTGGTTCTGGCTCTGCATCGAATGGTTAGTAGACTGAAGATGTTCTGAATTGGCTATATTTTATCGCTTAAAGACTGCTTTTATAAGACTTTGTTAAACTTATGTCAACATGCTTTTAGTGTATGAAATAATTTCTCCTTTTTAGTTAATTGGATCCATATGGTAGTTATCTGCTTTCTGTCTTCTGTTGGCAAAACTACTAATCTATACAATTGTTTTCTGGTACATCAGATAGAAGTGTTGTTGAGTGAGTATTGTCATACTGTTGCTATAAAGTTTGGTGTGTTGTTGTACTCCTCTCAGATGAAAATGTGCTTGCAGGAGTTAGGTGGCAGACAATTACAGCACTTGAAGCATTCTTATGCTGATATCCCCAGTGCACCTCCCTTTGTTGACACTGGTTCAGAAATAGAACAAGTTGGTGAGCACAATTTAACTGCTAGAGCACAGAGTAGACCTTGCTCTGCTAATTCAAGTGAATCTGAAACCACATTTTATCCAAAAACATCAAGAAGTACTCATGCTGCTAACCCCTCACAGGATAGTACTCGGTATGAGCTTCTTGACGTATCTATTGAGTTGTGTGTTTACGTACTTGTGTTATTTTCTTTTGGAGAATTTCTTGAATGCTGTGATTAAACTGCTATGCATGCAGGACTGCTGCTGGCATAGGAGTAGATTTATCCACAAGTTCCTTACGTGCTCGCTTCCCCACTTTTCATGCAAGGTAGGTTAGATAACTGAACTAGTAAGAGGCAAATTTGTTGACTCATGATTTTTAATGCATTTGATAAAGCTTTAACTCAAATACTGTCAAATCTGCTGTAAATACCATCGTATTCTCTGATCATTTTTTGAATTTACACTTTTTTCTTCTTTTTTTTTTATGAATTGTTCTCAGTGGACTAGGTCCTTGGTGTGCTGTCATTTCTTATGATGCGTGTGTTCGTTTGTGCCTTAACTCATGGGCAAAGGGTTGTGAGCAAGAAGCTCCCTACTTCTTGAATAATGAGTGTACACTGTTGCGAAGAGCATTTGGGTGAGTGCTCTTCTACCTTGTTTTGATCTTTGATATTTTTTGTTTACAAGATGAATTACACCAGTTTTATAACTTTAGAAATATTAACTAGGGTGCATGTGAATAAAATAAGCAGTTTTTTCAACTTCTAAAAATGTCATTGCTTTCTTGGTGGAAAATTTTTGGAGCTTTCATGCATATTGCTTTATGCAATTGCAACCATAATTGATAGAAGTAGAGCCATGAATGTAATGGCACACTTATACTATCCATCTTATAGGACCTCTAGGAGTTCTTTGTCTTCCAGCCGATTATGGACAGAGAGATGAAGGGGTAGTGTCTTTATTACAATTTCCTTACTTGAGGAGGCTTAGAGAGCAGTTTAATTGATCGTAAAATGGTAGAAATATGGTTTAGTCAGTAATGTTGACCAATATATATATGTACTCTATTGCATACGGGAGGTGGTGGTACTAAGACAAGATGACAGGAATTAAACATATGCTAAAACAAAATTATAGTTTCTTTATAGTTCTTTTCATTTGCACTTGAATTGAATTGTTTTGTTGCATGCAAATGCTGGTATTGTTTAGTGGTATTTTTATTTTATGTTGAATATGAATTTTTGTTTAATCTTGAAGTGCCTGTTTTTAATCATATGATTCTTTACCCCTTGACATCATAGTTTACAGAAAGTATTATTACAATCAGAAGAAGAATTATTGGAAAAACAATCTCCTGAGTTAGTCAGCGAGGCAGCTGCTATGAAACCTAAGAAGACTTATGGGAAGATGAAGGTTGAAGGTACTTTTATGTTCTCCTTAGTATTTTCATTGTAACTTTTTCTTTTTTCTTTTTGATATTTAATGGTTCTAAAAACGTCTAACATTGCGGTCATTTCATAGTTCGTAAAGTGAAAATGGGTTTAGACGCCCCTCCTGGCTGCAATTTTTCATCTTTAAAGCCATCAATGGTAAAAGTAGAATCATTTCGTCAGCATTTCTCCCATCTAAATTCAATGCTGAACTCGGGGTGGGGAGCAATGCAGAAAGTACGTGTGACGCCTAGTGTTCCTGAAAGCGGTTCACTTGCGCAAAAAAGTTTGGCATATGTCCATGCAAGCTCCCAATATGTAAAGGAGGTTTCCAAGCTCTTGAGAAATGGAGTTGCTACTCTGAGCAAAAATTCAACATCATATGAAGTAGTGCAAGGTAAGCAAATTTTATGTATATTATGGAACTTACTGTTATTATGTTTTACTTATTAAGCATTCAAACAGTATCATTAATTATTTTGTATGAGTTGTTATGTACCTTTCAAATTCATCTTGACTTTGATGGGTCATCTATCAGATGATTGGATAAGGATAAGCTTGAATTATCAGCATTAGGCTTCAAGAATAATTTGGTGTGACAATGTTGGGATGTCAGTCGTAAATTTAATCTGTTAGGAACTAAATCCAGATATAGCTTGATTTCAGTCGGATCTGATTGGCACTTTCTTTAATTTTCAGTTTTTGGGCTTGAAGAAAAACTCCATAAGTCTAGATTGATCACATAGCCACATAATGAGGAGTTATTTGCCGATTTATAACTGTCTTGAAGTTACGAGAAGTTATATTTCTTTCTTTTTTGTTCTATCTAACCTAAAGTATGGTTTATTGTTATTAGAAACATATTCTTGCATGCTGAGATTGAAAAGTATGTCGGAAGAGGATGTGGTCCGAATGCAACCTGGAACTAGTGAAACCCGTGTATTGTATGATTCTTTCTTTAGGTTGCTTCCCTCTTCTTGTTTCTTTGTCTGTTCTTGGTGGTCATTAACTTATAAGGCATACTGCAACACAGCTTTCCAGATAGTATTGGTGATGACTTGATCATTGAAGTTCAAGGTTCTAAGGGAGAATGTTGTGGCCGTGTCTTAGCTCAAGTTGCTGCTATTGCTGATGACCCAGTAAGATTTTCAGGATTGTCCTTTCATGTTTCATCTTTAAGGTAGGAAAGTAAATAGTTCTTTCTGAAGATCTAAAGGTTGGTTGAATGCAGAGTGAAAAGATTCGTTGGTGGCCTATATATCATGAGCCAGAGCATGAGCTTGTTGGCAGAATACAACTACACATAAACTATTCGACCAGTCAAGTTGGGGATAACAATCCTAAGGTAGATGCAATCTTATTCTCGATATTTTTGGAAACTTACCTCTTATGATGAGTCTGCTACCTCTTATGACCAGTCTGCTTGCAACTCTCTTCCTTGAATAAAGTTATTGAAGCAGTAGTGAGAATTATGTTATTTAGTCATAAAATTAACTTCATTTACTTCTTGTCTGTAGTGTGGTTGTGTGGCAGAAACTGTGGCATATGACTTGTTGTTAGAAGTTTCGATGAAAACTCAAAATTTTCAGCAAAGAAATTTGTTGCTAAATGGCCCATGGAAGTGGTTACTGGATAACTTTGCATCGTACTATGGAGTATCAGATACATACGCCAAGTTAAGGTATTGTGGTGAGGTAGAATGGGGATTTTCATATTTATAATTATTTATATGGGGACTCTGAATTACTATTACATTTTACAATCATGTACACTATTTGCAGATACCTATCTTATGTCATGGATGTAGCCACACCCACGCATGACTGTCTTACATTAGTATACGATTTGCTTTTACCTGTGAAGGGAAAAAGTAAGAGTGTGCTAAGTCATCAAGAGGTATGAGTCGAATTTCAGAGATGTTTTTATTTAAAAGTTTGGAACAGTTTCAAAATGCTTTTTGCACTATGCATTTTTAGTTTAAATGGGGGCTGTTCTGACTATTGGGAAATAACTACTTAATTTGCCTCTTTTTTCACAATTGATGATCTTTTATTTTGACATATTTTCACTATTATGATATTATTTTTATAGGTGCAAGATTAGGCTAGTACTTTGAATCATTATGTTTTTCAAAGAAACTTGATAAAGTTCAGTTTGTAAGTTTTTAACATGTCATCATATACTGAAGATAATTAGGTGTACCTTTTAAACTTAAATCTGATAGCGGTTTATGAATGTCATCCAGAATCGTATCCTTGGGGAGATTGAGGATCAAGTTCAGCAGATTCTAGCTTTAGTATTTGAGAACTACAAGAGTTTGGATGATTTATCGCCATCAGGGTTTACAGATATTTTTGGTCCTGCCACTGGACATGCAGCCCCCGCATTGGAACCTGCTGTCAAGCTCTATATTCTTCTGAATGATATATTAGGTTTTGAGGCACAGTTGAAGTTAACCAGATATTTTCAGGTATTGGAAGCCGATTTCTTTATGCTTTATTGTTTCAATCAGTCTTTACAATTATTCTTACAAAGTGCAAATGGCAAAACAGGCTGCTGTGAAGAAGAGATCAAGAAGGCACTTGAAAGTGACAGATGAGTTTGTTTTGAGCAACAATGAGGGCATGTCAAATGATCACATGGCTCTTTCAACTACTTATCAGAGGATGAAATCTCTAATTTTAAATTTTAGAAATGAAATTTGCACTGACATAGAGATCCACAGTCAGGATGTACTCCCCAGGTAATGTACTTCCTGTTCTCCTTAAACTTTGTTATGTTTCTCAATGAATAGATATGGTGTTGCTGGGTACTCATTATAGAAGCGCATTCTTTATTCTTTTTCTATTTCTCCATATTGGATCACTACAGATTTGATGATCATCTTGTTGCAAAGCTACTCAAACAATATGAGGCACTTGTTTGGCCTACTGGAAGCCTAGCTTGGTTACTTAATTTGTAAAGATATTTGCTGCTAAATGATTGTCCTCTGTTGTTCTGTTTGTCATTGATTATATGCAAATCTTAAAAAACAAAAGGATTCTGGGTTGATTATTATAACAAAAATTATTGTAAAACTGGTTAAAGCATGTTAAGGATAAGCATCAGTTGTAGGAGAATTATAATTCTACTTTGTGTAATAATTTTGACTCTGTTTTTACTTTAATGCAGTTTTATAGACCTTCCAAACCTTTCAGCTTCCATATATAGTGTGGAGCTTTGCAATAGATTGCGAGCATTCCTTGTTGCATGTCCTCCTCCTGGACTCTCACCTCCTGTTTCAGAACTTGTTATTGCAACAGCTGACTTTCAGAGGGATCTCTCTTGCTGGAAGATTGAGTAATAAGTTTTTCTTATTTTACTCCATATTGATTAGACTCGTTTATTTTATTACTTTGTGATCTCACTTGATTGATGATATTTTCAGTCATGTCAAAGGTGGAGTAGATGCAAAAGAGTTGTTCCATGTGTATATAACTCGCTGGATTCATGACAAGCATCATGCTTTACTTGATTCATGCAAACTAGATAAGGTATAAATTCCTGAAGAAGGATTTGTTTAGCAATATAATCACTTGATATTTCAAACTGTTTCCACATGTAGAATAATATTTTAACTCCTGTTCATTTGGTGTCTGCCATGATTCAGATTTTGCCCTTAAAACCTTTGGATTTCTTTTTGATTGAGGCTAACACTCAAAAATTTTCTGAACAAACCTTATTTCTAACATGCCCCATTTAGAAATTTTAGAAAATCCAAAATTACCTTATCCCCTTTCTTAGACTTCTCCTTCTCAATTTCTTTCTGGATATCTTCTATTGAGATCATGTTTTTGGATTTAAAATTACTATTTTTAACTGAATCATTTGGACAAGGAGAGCAACGATATAAATTCAAACATAGCTGTGAGAAAGTGACCACCACTTTATTGTAAAACAAAATGCACCTGTTGCTTTCATATCCTTTTTTGCCTAGAAGATGCACCACCCTTAGCCTAGCCAAGTAACTAGTCCTGCCAAATTAAGTTTTTCAAGTTCACCTTTGTGCTATAGGTTGTGGGGCTCTAAAATTGGGATGAATATAGTAACTCTTGGAGAACCTATAACTATTATAAGTGGAATCCGTAATTCTGGTTAAATGTCAAGGTTACTGAGTAGGCTTCATATTTGCTCGATACTGTTGAAGCAAAGTTTTTTTAGTTAATTTTGTTCATAATTCAGGGATGAAGAAGATGGCCTTTTTTTTTTTTTTTAATTAACTCTTTCGAAAATAATTATCACTGAAATCTGGAATCCGGGGCCAAAAATGACAGTTTGGGAAACTCTTTTAATTTGATGCATAAGTCATCCCTAAAACTTCACTTTGCAAAAAGTTTTGTGCCATTCTTCAGTTGAATTTATTTTTGTTATATACCAATCAAGACAAGATTTTGAATTTTTTTTTTTTTTTTTTTTTTGGGTCTTTGTTCTATTTGAATAATTTTGATGGAGGTTTAAATTGTAATTTAAAAAATTTGTTAAATGGTTTCTGTTGAGGAAGTTAATGATGGCAAATAGCACCACTCTCTTTCAAGGCTGATTAGGGTGAAAAAGACCAAGTCGCTTTTATTGCTGGTTACATATTCATAACTTGTTGCTGTTGTTTATTGATATCATCTAATATTAACTGCAATGTGCACCAGTCAGGTAGCTAATGGTCTTATCAAATGAATGATATTGGTAGTTAAATAACTCAATTAATATTTACTACACACATTATTTACTCTGGTAACATTGAGCATCAACCTGAAGGAGTTTGGCAAAAGGGCCTAATTTTTGTTTGATAAGTTTTATATCTTTTGATTACACTTCATATGAAATTGATTGCTTTCAGGTAAAGTGGTCTGGTGTGAGAACGCGAAACTCAACAACTCCTTTCATTGATGATATGTATAATCAACTGAAAGAGATGCTGAATGAATATGAAATCATCATTTACCGCTGGCCCGAATATGCTATTGTGTTGGAAAATGTATGTTCAATTATACTTCTTCCTTTTTTAACAAATGGTTTATGCTATTATCTTCATCATAATCTTTTTGGTCCTACTTAAGTTTTGATAAGCAAGGGATGGATTATATGCACTGATAATTTTAAGATCAACTGTGTGTGTTGAATTATTTAAGTGAACTTGATAAACAATCAACTGCATGTGATCTTTTAGATCTTTCTTTACCATTTGGGTTTCTAGGTAATTAAGATAGAATATTCTTTCTAACCTGCATTTTTAGCTCACCGCAGTTATGCGTCTCTCTCAATTCTGGTTCACATTATACTTGAATTTTCGAGAACTTATGTGTCCTTGGCATGTGTATCTGTGTAAAGGCTGTTGCAGATGTTGAAAGGGCAATCATTGAAGCTCTTGGTAAGCAATATGCTGATGTTTTATCGCCATTGAAGGATTGCCTCACACCCAAGAAATTTGGCCTCAAATATGTTCAGAAAATTGCCAACCGAACTGTAAATGCCTACTTTGTCCCTGATGAGGTGAACTTCTGTTCATAGTTTGCATGTTTCACAGAATTGGTATTTAAATTCCCTATGGAAATTATAGCTTCAGCACTATTTTCAGCTAGGGATTCTCCTAAATTCCATGAAAAGGATTTTGGACGTGCTGTGGCCCAAAATAGAAAGCCAGTTTAAGTTGTGGTCTTCTTCTATTGCCGAGGGTAGAGATGGAGTTACAGGAGAGCATCTCACTGAAATAGCAGTTATGATGAGAGCCAAATTCCGAAATTTTTTGCTAGCAATTGTGGAGAAACTTGCAGATAATGTGAGTACCCTTTACAATCTAATAACTATATTTAGATTTTTCATGGAGGATTTATTTAATAATGGTAACATGTTGATTGACTAGAAACTGCATGGTTTTCTAGGATAAGAATCTGATAAAAGATACCCATGCATAGTGAAAGTCCGGTATTAGTTATAGTATATGATAGCTTATGCAGCAGAAAATATTTAGTCTGATTCATGAGAGAAATATGTGTACAACGAATGTATAACCAAAGAATATACTGAACCATGAGGTTTCAGAGCTTCCCATCTTAGATGTCAACAAACTTTTATGTGTGATCACCAATAATAGATGTTAACTTGGTTCACATATAGTTTATTAGGTGTTATGTTTGGCCAGTCTATTTATGTGCTGGACCAAAAAGCCTGTCTTGTGACAGAATCACAATCACCTGAAGGACTATTCATGGTTTTTGAAATGAGGTTAAAGTTTTGGCATCAAGATTTATTTTTCATAGCCAACTTTGATCTGGTTATTGCTCCGCTTTAGACACTCTGACTACCCCTGTCACTGTTTGTCCTTGCTTCTGTTGTTCTACTCTAAGCTTATAGCCATTCTGGAATTCATTTCTTTCAGTAATTTGGTTAATAACAGTGATATTTTCCAGTCAACTGTTGCTGTTGGATGTCTAAACTGACATTTCCTTGGATAATGCTGCATCTTATTTCCTTATATTTTTTCTATATGTAGTTTTCTATTAGATTTTCTGATAATATAGCATCTAGTTCCCTTATATTTTTTCTAGTATTTTTGTATTGGATTTTCCAGTGATATAGCATCTAGTTCCAAACAGCAAATGTCTTTGCTGCCATTTGAACCGATTTTCAGACTGTAGCCATTCAGATTCTAATATTGGTTAGCTTTTTGTTTCCTTTTTTTATGTTAGACAAGGATGCAAAGTATGACTAAATTAAAGAAGATAATTCAAGACTCAAAGGAAGCTTGTCCAGAATCAGACGTAAAATGTAGAATGCAACCTTTGAAAGATCTCTTGATTAAGACAATGGATCATCTGTACACAGTCGTTGAGCCACATGTGTTCACAATGATTTGCCGACTTTTATGGGACCATATGGGAAAGGTATATTGACATCTGAAGCATGTCTTCACAAAAGTTTCCCTTGATTATAGAACTTGAATATACATCCTGTTCTTTTCCTTTTTGCTTACAGGATGTGCTGCATTTTCTGGAAAATAAGAAAGAGCACAGCTCCTGGTATAAGAGCTCAAGAATTGCAATTTCTGTAAGTTGCCTTTAGCCTCAGAACTTCTGTATCGAAATTAGATTACTTTCTTTTACGGTTATTTCAGTGTCAACAAAAACCTAAGTTACAATGTAATATGACATTTCAGCACTTTTTGATCTTGAGAACTTTCTAAATCTTCTTATCTAGAGAAAGGAAAAATAAATTTGACATTACTGACCTTTATAAGTTACAATGTCTTTCAAATAACACAACTCGGGAAAAATTATAATTTCCTGGATGGATTCAAGTGGGTATCTGGTTACAAGATATTTCGGGTGATTGGTGGGGTCTTGTGTAGCAGTTGTAACTGACAAGAACATATCCAGTACAGAATCTCCCTGCAACATAGAAAACTGATGAAAACTTATATAATGTTATCAAAATACCTAGTTAGTTTTATTTCTTAAATATTGATGTCATCAAATTTGCAGGTTTTGGATGACATATTCGCATCACAAATGCAGCGATTGCTTGGCAATGCGCTGCAAGAGAAAGACTTGGAGCCACCAAGATCGATAATGGAAGTACGTTCCATGCTCTGTAAAGATTCTGTAAATTACGAGGATAGTAACTACTACTGTTAAATTTTATATCTGTCAGTGTATATGATTATGAATGAAGAGGTGCCAATTTTGACATTATCACATCGAAAGATGCGATGACAAATAGCTAAATTCAAACGGAGTATACGGGTATAGAAGTTTTGCATAGCTGATTTTCTGGAGGTAAAGTTCTATTAATTTTGTTTTAGCTTTTGCCAAGTTTGTATAGGTTACCCACCATGCCCTTTGTGGTGGTTATAGTAATTCTTTGTTGGAAAAATGTAGAACTTGAAGAAAAATATAGTATCACAATTTTATAATACTTATTCTCCTTGTATCTCAAAGTTATGACATTCAATTCCAGTAAGCTATCTTTCTTAAGTTATTCTCAGTTAGGATATTGAGTGTTGTGCATATATAAATCTATTAGACATAAATTAATACTATTGGGTTGTTACCTCTCTTTTGAAAAACTTGGCTCCCATCATCTGTCTTCATAGAAACCTTTTGCCCTTTCTTTTTTAAACATCTTGTTGTACCGAGCAGTGTCTTTAACAGGTAATAACACTGGTCTAGTTCTTGCCATAAACCATTTAACATGCTATGATATGCTGTCACACTTTCGCTCTCTTGGTTCATCTCCCAGATGCGTGTTTTAATTTCGAATATCAGAGCTGAATTTGCCATGTTTCAGTAGGTTTCAGCAACATCCCACATCTCTTTCGCAGTTGATAATAAGAAATAGGGCCAATTTCAGGTTCCATTGAGTAGATCATCCATGCCATAACCATGGAGTTTTCTTCCTCCCATGCCTGAAATTCCATCTAATAATGGTGAAATTAGATTTATGACTTACAAATTTTTAGATTTTATTCTGTCGCAATCCAATAATTGTAAAAGTGAAATTAAGAGTAATTACTCGTTATGTCAAGTCAAGAAATTCTAATGTGTATTATGTTAGCTCAACAAATTCTAAACCAATGATATTATAGTAGATGTATCATGTATGACTATGAGTTACAATGTTACAGTTGATATTATCTAACACATGATGTCTAACATTAATTGTAAAAATTGTAACATAGAATAAAATTGAATTAAATTTTGATACCAGTAGGACATTTCAAGAAAAAATTTACTGTAGTTTATTTGAGTTTACAATGCTCTGGATATGTTAAAAATTTTCTCTTGTTTTCCGACAATAGGTCAGAAAAATAATGAAGCAATTCCATACTACTCATCTTGTTAAGTTGAGACAGCAGCTAAAGCTCAATCGCCATCAAAATTAATTTTTGATAGAGATCCAGCAATGTTTGGTTACACCAGCTCTTACACCTTACTTTTACAGAACAATGTGGGGTTCTAAATTTCTCTCTTGTTTCTCTTTCTTTGTAATACAAAGTGCCAAATGATGTAACAAAGAATAAATATCTCTAGAATTGAATAAGTTAGGTTTTTCACTATACAAAGCATCAAATCAAATCAAATCAAACAATTGAATAATTGTTCGGTGAGAAATTTATGGGTACCACCACTTCATTACTTTATGTTCATGGTATCCAAATTTTGGTATATAAGAAAATCAGACCCATTTGCCCCATGTGCTCTGCTCTCTCGTCTCTTTTAAGTTTCATACTTAAAGAAAATAAATGTGAAGAGTACGGGAGAACAAGGTTTGGCAAAACTGACACTTTCCCACCTGCCGTTCGTTAATTTTAATTGAAGAATGATAAAATGATAAATTCAAAAAACAGTCAAAGGATAATTATGTCATTTTATCTGTCAATATATAAATTCAGAAAACCTTGAATTCAAACACTTTCTTCCCAACCCCATCGCTCCAAAATCCCCCACCCCCACCAATTGGCCAGAATCGCAATTGGCCTGGTGCGATTCAGCTGGATTCGCGCCCGCTTGCGATTCTGGCTTAATTGCATCCATCTGAAGCACATCCGACCAAATTCAAACCCAGAGTTCTTTTAGATAACAATCTTTGGTAGAATTAAAGAGCAAGAAGTAAGGGAGTTTTGAGATTTTTTTTTTTTTAATAAAAAAAAAAAAAAAAGTTGTTTACCATTAAAGAAAAGAGCCAAGTGATGAAGCAAATTATTTTGGAGCGTACAGTATAAATTAATAGCCTTAGACCATATCAATTTTATTAATTAAAAGAGGTACTAATTAATCAATAAATCAATAAATTATTAATTTATAGAGTGTATTTATGATTCAATATATGCTTAAATTAGAGATGAGATCCAATAAAATTCAAAGCCTCAACAACATTTTATAATTTTTATATTGCAATTTGAGAATTCAACCCTAGAAGTTCTAGATGCAATGAGAAAAAATTAAAGATGAGATTCAACAAGATTTAGGCTCCGTTTGGTTCACTTTTTTGTATTTTTTAGAAAATTTTTTAAAAAAAGTTAAAAAAAATTGAATTGGGCGGGTATTACGATGTAGGATTTAGAAATTAATAAAAATACCCCATATGTTTGTTTATTTACTAAACACCCCTATAATAAAACTTTAAAAGTTAACAAAAACACCCCCAACCCATCCATTGAATAATCACAGCCGGCCACCACCACTAGAGGGTGGCCGGAGTCACTGTATCGACGCATGACCGGCTGGATCTTGCCGGTCGTGCGCTGATATGGCCTTTGCCGGCCAGATCTACGGTTAGATCTAGCCATTGACGGCCAAATCTGGCCGTATTTGCTCTTCAACGACGGCCAAAGATACGGCCGTCGTTGACGTCTGGTTACGGCCAAAGATCTAGCCGTCAACGACCAGATCTTTGGCCTTAGATCTTGCCTTTGGATCTGGCCGAAAAAGGCTAGATCGGCACACTACCGGCCAGATTCAACCGGTAGTGTGCCATTATATCAGATTCCGGCCAACTTCTGGCAGTGGTAACCGGAATTTGGTATAATGTGGGTTTAGGGGTGTTTTTGCAATTTCGAAAAAAAATATTTAGGAGTATTTAATTAAATTAACAAATTTAGGGGGTTTAAAAAAAGTGAATAATATTGGATAATATTGTGAGTTTTTTGGCATTTTACTGTTTAACTTTTTTGGGAATACTACCAACCAAACAGAGCCTTAAATTTCAAGAAAAAACAAGTAATAATAGTCATATTTTAATAAAATATCATTAGTCAATTAGCAAATTATTTATTTATGATATGAATGAGACTACAGAGTTATGTAAAGTTTTCCAGAAAAGTATTATTTTATTAATTTATTGAAATTATTAATTAATTTAACCTACTAACCCAAGTCGGAACCGTAAGAAATTATCATATAATAAATGTTAGTAATTTATCGAGTATTAATCTATAGAGGTTATATAGTACTTTTAATATTGTCTCTTTGAGTTTGAATGTTTAGAGTTTCGGAGGTGGCTGATGTTTCAAAATTGCGGTTCAGTACAGTTAGTTTATGTGGAGGTTGTTAGGTTAGCCAATCAATTCATGCCAACTGGTGTATTGTTTCAATTTCGGCCAAGTACGATTCAGTCGGAAAGTTGGGTGCGATTTGGCCAACTATATTTTTAGTTTTCTTATTTTATTTTATTGGATGATGTGTGTTGATTTGGTAAGGCTGATGATGTGGTATGTTGATTAGTGTGAGAAGATTGTAGTGAGAAGGCTGGCCAGGTGCAATTTCAGCGAAGGAGAAAGAAGACAAGAGAAAGGTATTTTTGTCTTTACACTGTTTATACCCAGTTTTTAATAACTGGCCCGGGAGAAAAAGCAACGCGACGAGTCCCAGGTTGACCGTTTGACTATCAGTTTAACCGTTAATCCAACATGTTTGATATCTAACAAAAACACCTTTGATAAATACTTATCAATCCTTATAGGTTTAAAATCTAACAAAAGCACCCTGTGATCGGGCAAATGCAAATCAACGTCAACTGGTTGGCAACGGAAACACACTAAATGTAGTCCCACTCATCCTTTGAGCCATCACCGAAAAATCTGCCCAAGATCTAGCCGAAATCACACAAATTTCCCCCAAAAAACCATCGCTGATTGCCAACCCAAACCAAGTAGGTATGTTTCTGACGTCGATAATCATACTCGTACCACCAAAACATTCCCTCAGCTCCTGTGCAAAATTCATCTCACCCATCCCCGTTGCTCTGCTAATCATCGACACAGCCGTTGTTGTAATTGCACGCGTTTTTTGCCTTTTTGGGTCGTTTCACTCACTGAAAATCAACACCCTTGACCTTTCGACCCACAGCACCTCTTCTCCAAAAGCCTCAATATCCCTGCTACTATCTGCTCGTCGATCACGTCCATAATTTAGGGTTTTGAAGAACAATTAAAATGGGTAACCCGGCTAGAGAAGGCTCGACTACTGGTCCAATTAGTTAAACCGACTGGGTCAGGTTTTAAACAGAGTTTATACCATGTTAGAGAATGAATTTTCCTAACTAAACATAACGTGTGTGGGAAAATTCGTTTTGAAACTTGACGGGTGGAAAAGTGTTGGTTCGCCAAACCTTAGGTGGGAAAATTGGGAATATGAATGTTATGGTATGGCTAATTACTAAGATTACGTCAATCACCCAAAATCATTCAATCAATTATTCCTGATGAGTGTAATTACATTATTGTGATTGACATCACCAAAATCACTCAATCAATCAATTCATGATTTAGTGTAATTACATTTTTTTTCCTTATTACATAGCTAAACTTTTGTATAAATAGGTGATATCACAATTCAAAATAATTCAATACCATACAATTAAATCATATAAGATATCTCTTAGGGTACTCCAACCTTTCAGTTGTCTCTCTGCTCTCTCAATTCTGAAAAAATGAGTTCTCCAAAGAGTATTATTGTGTGGTTTATAGCTCCATCCTAACTTTACATATCAATGAAAAACATGAGATATATTGATTTAGAATATAAATCAATGGGTTAAAAAAAATGGTAATATTCTATATTGTTGTAGTAAATCACTTGGAATCTTAGGGTGCATTTGATTTAGATAATATTGTATTATATGGAATGTTATATTAATGGAAAGATAGATTACCTTGAAGATTATTGAGAATGTTTAGGAAATATGTTTGGTGGATAGAATAAATTGGTTGGTATGTTATATTGATATGTTTGGCTGGAGGAATAAATTGGTGGATATGTTATATTGATATGATACTGAGAATTTAATTTTAACAAAAACACCCACCCACCCACCCAAGCCACTACCGCCCGCCTGAACCACGCTAGGCGTCAATGGGAAGTGCACAAAGATGTTTTTTGATGGGTTTTGAAGAGGAGGTGAAAGGGAGCCGATCGGTGCAAGTGGGGATGATTTCCGGTA